TTTTGCAATTTTCAGGAATTTTTGCAATTTTTGCAATTTTCAGGAATTTTCGCGATTTTTGCAATTTTCAGGAATTTTTGCAATTTTTGCAATTTTCAGGAATTTTTGCGATTTTTGCAATTTTCAGGAATTTTTGCAATTTTCAGGAATTTTTGCGATTTTTGCAGTTTTCAGGAATTTTTGCAATTTTTTGCAATTTTCAGGAATTTTTGCAATTTTTGCAATTTTCAGGAATTTTTGCGATTTTTGCAATTTTCAGGAATTTTTGCGATTTTTGCAATTTTCAGTAATTTTTGCGATTTTTGCAATTTTCAGGAATTTTTGCAATTTTTTGCAATTTTCAGGAATTTTGCAATTTTTGCAATTTTTGCAATTTTCAGGAATTTTTGCGATTTTTGCAATTTTCAGGAATTTTTTCGATTTCTGCAATTTTCAGGAATTTTTTCGATTTCTGCAATTTTCAGGGAATTTTTGCAATTTTTGCAATTTTCAGGAATTTTTGCGATTTTCGCAATTTTCAGGAATTCTTGCAATTTTGCAATTTTCAGGAATTTTTGCGATTTTTGCAATTTTCAGGAATTTTTGCGATTTTTGCAATTTTCAGGAATTTTTGCAATTTTCAGGAATTTTTGCGATTTTTGCAATTTTCAGGAATTTTTGCAATTTTTGCAATTTTCAGGAATTTTTGCGATTTTTGCAATTTTCAGGAATTTTTGCAATTTTTGCAATTTTCAGGAATTTTTGCGATTTTTGCAATTTTCAGGAATTCTTGCAATTTTTGCAATTTTCAGGAATTTTCGCGATTTTTGCAATTTTCAGGAATTTTTGCAATTTTTGCAATTTTCAGGAATTTTTGCGATTTTTGCAATTTTCAGGAATTTTTGCAATTTTCAGGAATTTTTGCAATTTTTGCAATTTTCAGGAATTTTTGCAATTTTTGCAATTTTTGCAATTTTCAGGAATTTTTGCGATTTTTGCAATTTTCAGGAATTTTTTCGATTTCTGCAATTTTCAGGAATTTTTTCGATTTCTGCAATTTTCAGGAATTTTTGCAATTTTTGCAATTTTCAGGAATTTTTGCGATTTTCGCAATTTTCAGGAATTTTTGCAATTTTTGCAATTTTCAGGAATTTTTGCGATTTTTGCAATTTTCAGGAATTTTTGCAATTTTTGCAATTTTCAGTAATTTTTGCAATTTTCAGGAATTTTTGCGATTTTTGCAATTTTCAGGAATTTTTGCAATTTTTGCAATTTTCAGGAATTTTTGCGATTTTTGCAATTTTCAGGAATTTTTGCAATTTTTGCAATTTTCAGGAATTTTTGCGATTTTTGCAATTTTCAGGAATTCTTGCAATTTTTGCAATTTTCAGGAATTTTTGCGATTTTTGCAATTTTCAGGAATTTTTGCAATTTTCAGGAATTTTTGCGATTTTTGCAATTTTCAGGAATTTTTGTGATTTTTGCAATTTTCAGTAATTTTTGCGATTTTTGCAATTTTCAGGAATTTTTGCAATTTTTGCAATTTTCAGGAATTTTTGCAATTTTTGCAATTTTCAGGAATTTTTGCGATTGTTGCAATTTTCAGGAATTTTTGCGATTTTTGCAATTTTCAGGAATTTTTGCAATTTTCAGGAATTTTTGCAATTTTTGCAATTTTCAGGAATTTTTGTAATTTTTGCAATTTTCAGGAATTTTTGCAATTTTTGCAATTTTCAGGAATTTTTGCAATTTTTGCAATTTTCAGTAATTTTTGCGATTTTTGCAATTTTCAGGAATTTTTGCAATTTTTGCAATTTTCAGTAATTTTTGCGATTTTTGCAATTTTCAGGAATTTTTGCAATTTTTGCTATTTTCAGGAATTTTTGCGATTTTTGCAATTTTCAGGAATTTTTGCAATTTTTGCAATTTTCAGGAATTTTTGCGATTTTTGCAATTTTCAGGAATTTTTGCGATTTTTGCAATTTCAGGAATTTTTGCGATTTTTGCAATTTCAGGAATTTCTGCAATTTTCAGGAATTTTTGCGATTTTAGCAATTTTCAGGAATTTTTGCAATTTTGCAATTTTCAGGAATTTTTGCGATTTTTGCAATTTTCAGGAATTTTTGCGATTTTTGCAATTTTCAGGAATTTTTGCGATTTTTGCAATTTCAGGAATTTCTGCAATTTTCAGGAATTTTTGCGATTTTTGCAATTTTCAGGAATTTTTGCAATTTTTGCAATTTTCAGGAATTTTTGCAATTTTTGCAATTTTCAGGAATTTTTGCAATTTTCGCAATTTCCAGGAGTTTTTGCGATTTTTGCAATTTTCAGGAGTTTTTGCAATTTTTGCAATTTTCAGGGATTTTTGCAATTTTCAGGAATATTTGCGATTTTTGCAATTTTCAGCAATTTTTGCAATTTTTGCAATTTTCAGGAATTTTTGTGATTTTTTCGATTTTCACAATTTTCAGGAATTTTTGCGATTTTTGCAATTTTCAGAAATTTTTGCAATTTTTGCAATTTTCAGGAATTTTTGTGATTTTTTCGATTTTTACAATTTTCAGGAATTTTTGCGATTTTTGCAATTTTCAGGAATTTTTGCAATTTTTGCAATTTTCAGGAATTTTTGCAATTTTTGCAATTTTCAGGAATTTTTGCAATTTTTGCATTTTTCAGGAATTTCTGCAATTTTTGCAATTTTCAGGAATTTTTGCAATTTTCAGGGATTTCTGCAATTTTTGCAATTTTCAGGAATTTTTGCAATTTATTCAATTTTCAGGAATTTTTGCAATTTTTGCAATTTTCAGGAATTTCTGCAATTTTTGCAATTTTCAGGAATTTTTGCGATTTTCGCAATTTTCAGGAATTTTTGCGATTTTTGCAATTTTCAGGAATTTTTGCGATTTTTGCAATTTTCAGGAATTTTTGCAATTTTTGCAATTTTCAGGAATTTTTGCAATTTTCAGGAATTTTTGCGATTTTTGCAATTTTTAGGGATTTTTGCAATTTTTGCAATTTTCAGGAATTTTTGCAATTTTTGCAATTTTCAGGAATTTTTGCGATTTTTGCAATTTTCAGAAATTTTTGTGATTTTTTCGATTTTTACAATTTTCAGGAATTTTTGCGATTTTTGCAATTTTCAGGAATTTTTGCGATTTTTGCAATTTTCAGAAATTTTTGCAATTTTCAGGAATTTTTGTGATTTTTTCGATTTCTACAATTTTCAGGAATTTTTGCGATTTTTGCAATTTTCAGGAATTTTTGCGATTTTTGCAATTTTCAGGAATTTTTGTGATTTTTTCGATTTTCACTATTTTCAGGAATTTTTGTGATTTTTTCGATATTTACAATTTTCAGGAATTTTTGCGATTTTTGCAATTTTCAGGAATTTTTGCAATTTTCAGGAATTTTTGCAATTTTTGCAATTTTCAGGAATTTCTGCAATTTTTGCAATTTTCTGGAATTTTTGCGATTTTCGCAATTTTCAGGAATTTTTGCAATTTTTGCAATTTTCAGGAATTTTTGCGATTTTCGCAATTTTCAGGAATTTTTGCAATTTTTGCAATTTTCAGGAATTTTTGTGATTTTTTCGATTTTCACAATTTTCAGGAATTTTTGCGATTTTTGCAATTTTCAGAAATTTTTGCAATTTTTGCAATTTTCAGGAATTTTTGTGATTTTTTCGATTTTTACAATTTTCAGGAATTTTTGCGATTTTTGCAATTTTCAGGAATTTTTGCAATTTTCAGGAATTTTTGCAATTTTGCAATTTTCAGGAATTTCTGCAATTTTTGCAATTTTCTGGAATTTTTGCGATTTTCGCAATTTTCAGGAATTTTTGCAATTCTTGAAATTTTCAGAATTTTTGCAATTTTTGCAATTTTCAGGAATTTTTGCAATTTTTGCAATTTTCAGGAATTTTTGAAATTTTTGCATTTTTCAGGAATTTTTGCAATTTTTGCAATTTTCAGGAATTTTTGCAATTTTCAGGAATTTCTGCAATTTTTGCAATTTTCAGGAATTTTTGCAATTTTTGCAATTTTCAGGAATTTTTGCAATTTTTGCAATTTTCAGGAATTTCTGCAATTTTTGCAATTTTCAGGAATTTTTGCGATTTTCGCAATTTTCAGGAATTTTTGCGATTTTTGCAATTTTCAGGAATTTTTGCGATTTTTGCAATTTTCAGGAATTTTCGCAATTTTTGCAATTTTCAGGAATTTTTGCAATTTTCAGGAATTTTTGCGATTTTTGCAATTTTTAGGGATTTTTGCAATTTTCAGGAATTTTTGCAATTTTTGCAATTTTCAGGAATTTTTGCGATTTTTGCAATTTTCAGGAATTTTTGTGATTTTTTCGATTTTTACAATTTTCAGGAATTTTTGCGATTTTTGCAATTTTCAGGAATTTTTGCAATTTTTGCAATTTTCAGGAAATTTTACAATTTTTGCAATTTTCAGGAATTTTTGCGATTTTTTCGATTTTTACAATTTTCAGGAATTTTTGCGATTTTTGCAATTTTCAGGAATTTTCGCAATTTTTGCAATTTTCAGGAATTTTTGTGATTTTTTCGATTTTCACAATTTTCAGTAATTTTTGCGATTTTTGCAATTTTCAGAAATTTTTGCAATTTTTGCAATTTTCAGGAATTTTTGTGATTTTTTCGATATTTACAATTTTCAGGAATTTTTGCGATTTTTGCAATTTTCAGGAATTTTTGCAATTTTCAGGAATTTTTGCAATTTTTGCAATTTCAGGAATTTCTGCAATTTTTGCAATTTTCTGGAATTTTTGCGATTTTCGCAATTTTCAGGAATTTTTGCAATTTTTGCAATTTTCAGGAATTTTTGCGATTTTTGCAATTTTCAGGAATTTTTGCAATTTTTGCAATCAAATTTGCTTTGCTCAACTGCTCAAACAGGATTCAAGAAAACCCCTCCTCAACAAAAACAAAAACGTTCATACTAGAATATCTTTCAATTAAAAATGAAAACTCATGTATAAATAATGGAGTGAGTACTTACGGGAAATATGGATGCATTGATGGTTGGATGTGCGAGACACGCCTGGTGCTAAAAAGAAAAATCCACTGAACTTCGAATATTCGTTAATTCTCTCAGAATGCTTACTAATTGTGCATTTGTTTTTTGGAACAGCCCATGAGCAAAAACAGACACGACGAATACGTTGATAACGAAACTGACTAGCAATGCGACAGCTGCTTCAATGAAATAATACATATTGGCATCCCTGACTTTCTCAGGTTTTGATCTATCAATATCTCTGGATTTCACAAGGGCTGAATGCAAGTACAAATTATGAGGCATTATGACAGCACCTGAAATGAAAAGAGTCGCTCAGTTTCACGTTTGTAGGCCCTATTTTAAAATGACTTTATGGCGTGACGCTAAGGTTAAAGTCATCTTTGTAGGAAGATGATCAAATCATTACATGTAACTTCTATTTTGTATCATTTCAATGTACCAGGTGATTCAATAAGGGTGACGAGGTAATGTATTTCAGGAACTGATAGTTTATAAAACACGTTTTTATTTCATGCCTCTCTTGAACCAGACCTTGTTAACAAAATAATCAGTTCCTGAAATACAGTATCTTGTCCCCCTTTTTGAATTACCCTATATGTTACGTCTTCAATGGATAAAAATGATATTTTATATTTCTGAAGACAGTGATTGAAAAGTTATTTTATTTATTAAACAATTGACAATGACATCATGTACCACTAAAATAATGATTACTGAATCTACGGAGTTGATACAGGATGTATGATTGTTATGCCAATACTATACAATAAATCCTTTAGGTAAAAAAAAAGGATCTCAAGTATTCCAATTATTGGATAAAAGAAAATGTATACACCAATCCGCCATTAAACAACACGAGTGAGAAAGAGACAGATTACCGTAACACAAGCTATCTTTGTTGTAGCTGCTCCTTATTATATTGAGTTTAATGCTTACCTACGATACCGACTGCTTGGAGCAGAGCTCTCGAATCGCAATCCTTGCACCAGGGTATGAACATACCCTCCATCACTCCTATCGCATTCGGTTTGGAGGTTATGTACTCGTAACCGAACGTGATACCCATGATTGTGATGAGGAACGCGAAGAAGCTTTCGAGCTTTCGCAGACCGTATTTGTCCAGGAACAGGAAGGTGAAAGTGTCTATTATGGTTATAAGGACTCCTGCCCAGATGGGAATCCTGAAAAGAACATCAAAAGTAATTCGCGGGAATCAATGTTACCAGGTGGCGCTCGGTTTTCATCCATGTCAAAGCCACGTCAAAACTGGGGGAAAACAAACTCAATCCTCACTCAATGGGCGTGTACACCTTAGTAGAACTTTCAACTCAAACCATGTTTATAATGATCCTTTTATACATAAATAATGATTGACGACATAATTCGATCGAAAAATTAACTGGAATGTTTTATTTTTGGACATAAATAATAGTTCCTTCTGGAAACGGACCCTCTTATGACGTAGAAACCTCATTTCGCCATAGTTAAAAGAAAATACCAAACGCCAGACGGAGACTGAGGCAACTGATATATTAATTCTTTCAACTGGAATAGTCTTGTTTCAGTATCAGGGTTTTGACGTCACATCATCGCCTCGTTTTCAGAGGTCCGAAAAATCGGGGATTTCAATAATTTTTTATAAAACGTAGGGAGCTCACAGCAAGAAACGGTTTACGGTGGTGAGCTAGTTTGGGTGAGTTCTATCGAATTATGAAATGAAAATGTTTTATGACCATTGACTCAATCCCATTATTCCCATTTTCCATTAGCTTGTGTACTGTGTACTGATAAGAGTGATAAGTTTTCGAATTTCTTGACATTAATTGTCAATATTCGATCGAAAACGCTAATAATGCCTGGTTGTAGATGTTCTTTTGGCAGATATTTTGCTCTATTTAGATGGAAAAAGCCGACCAGTAGTGGAAGGAGAAGCAGTTCTCCGTGCTAATCATGTGATTTTGTGTGAGGCAGAAGACTTCAACAAAAGGCACATTTTTGCACTTTGTCTACAAACTTCGGCGATGAAATCTTCCCCACATGAAGTAAAATTGAAGTTGGGGTCCAGATGAACTCCTGTAAAACAATGTATTTGTATTTGTTCATGCAAAGCAGGACAATCTGGGTATTGTGAACATGTTGTAGCTGTTCTTTTATATGTCAATTGATTTGCTCGTCATAATTAGTTTGAATTGTTTGAACTATCTCCAATTCTTCACCTGTTCACTGTTCACTAAACTAATAAAAATGTAATAATGTAAAAAAATAACCAACTCAACCATCATCACTACCAACAGTGCCAAGTTTGACTACAGCAAGCTGAATGCAATGTAATGTAGTCTATGCACTTTATCACAGCCGTCTTCAACTATCAAGCCGTGCTGAGATAATGGCAACGTCGCACGAACGGAAACCGTCGGTCCCATTCGCGCCTAGCAATACAATGGTTTTTATATGAGCGCGAGCTTTGAATGTTTGGTTTAACGTAATTTTCTCGGATTATTTTGTCGAATAGGTAAAAAATACACGAGAGTGAACTTACAGAGTGAAGAACGAGGAATAATGTGGTTGAATAATTCCCTTGGTCATGAACTGAAGCCGTAATTTTGAACATTTTGATAAAATAAAACTTATGGAGATATCGAATTTTTCATTCATATCTGAGTGTTTGTCAGTTTGATCTGAGATGTTTTTGAATCTAGCTAGAATATTTTCAAGTGTGACCATCTATTCAATTTTATATCATGAGTAAGAATTCATTTCAATTCATTGAATTCAAGTTTATTATCACCAAGAAAAACTTGGACCTCCATCTCATTGGATATTTCAACTTGAGAAACGATTTGTAAAGAATTTTCATCATTGGGATAAAAAACATTTGCTTGCAAATCTAATTCATAAAAATACAATTTATCATCAGTCTCATTGATTTTTCCAAGTATCAATTTTAACTTTCTCAACATATTCCCTAACTGTTCATAGTTGTGGATGAGGTCTGATTTTTCAAACTGTTCTATTATATTACCTTGAATATCTAAATATTTATTTCTGACGTCTTTCATTTGGATCAGTTTATGGTTTGGCTGATTTTGAAAAATATTTTGGTAAATTTGGAAAAATTGAAGGAACTGCTGTTTTGACTAACTTTGGTGCTCGTAACGAATTTTTTCCAATTGATCCATCTGGCAGAGGGAATGTATCATACCTGATGATATCTTTTTCAATCAAATGAATTGCACATACTGCAGAACGTTGAGATGGTGTCCAGTTTTTTCGAGGTATTGCTGTTATCCACTTACTTCGCAATTCTTCCCCTTCTGGGAATAAAAAACTGAGACATGATCCTTTCCCAGCTGTTTTCAGATCTGTAATTTGACTTACATCCTGGCACACAACAATGAAAAGGCATATTTTATAAGGAATAATGAATTACTTACTTATTTCCAGGAGTAAATTAAAAAAAAAAACAACACAAATTCCCTTTCCAATTTAACACAATTTTGAATGCACTTGCCACACACTTTCAGTCTCGAGTCAATTGCTAGATTGTTGCTAATACATTTAAAATTATTTGATCTCAATATTACACCAATTAATAAGTGAAAACTTTAACAAAACCTTCCATAAACTTCTTGTTTACTTCCTACACAATACACTTTGAATGGCCGACAGTTGCACGTTCGGTCGTTCGGACAATGTTGCCAAGTTCATTCTTCATGGCTTTCAATTGGAGACGGCTGTGACTTTATCCATAGACAACAGTTTGTTTTCCCCCAGTTTGAAGTTCGTATTATGTAACCTAGATGTCGCCCACTTCGTGAATCTCGCGAATAGAATGCCTTCTAATTTTAGAGATATTCCACTTTTTTTCAATGCCTCAGTCGTTGAGGCGTTCTACTCAAATTACAAAAACTTACACCCTGTTTGATAGAAGATATATCGCTATAGCTGTGCCTATCACTTCTTGCATATCACTACCTATGATGGCAATTTCGATCATGATCCACACAATCAAACGCGGTAGTTTCCTGTATTGTCTGTAACACATCTCCGCTAAATGTAGACCAGTTACAACACCTGAAACACAAGGATACTGAAATTCCAATAAATCTATTTAGCTAGTAGAGAGAAAAATAAATAACTTTGATTTTCAAACTGCTGTGAAAGCGCTCAGTCACTGAGAACTGAGAAGCGTCAAGAAAAATACGAATTTACCATACAAAAATCCATTGAAAACGGGAGCAGATTCGTTCCCGAAACGTCCAAAGATAAGTGAAAATTTGATATTTTTTCTATACAGGGTGTTTCATTACTAATTGGAAATGTTTCAACCATAGAATCCCGAACTCAAAATATGAAGATTTAACCCAAATCACCTAGATGAAATATGTCTCCTGTCTGAGTTACAAGGTGTTTTATTCAAAAATTTTGAAATGTTTTTTGCCCAGTTCTTCAAAACTATTTGACATATCACTTTGATATTCGGAGGGAAGTGTAGGTATCATACATCCATCTGGATTATGTGAATTGAACTTAGCTAGCTATTACCAGAGGCATACGACAGGGGCTAGTGACTAGTTGATCCTTCCCAAATTCTACGCCACTGGCGGAATTGCAATTTTATCAGAATTTTCGATTCTTGAATACCTACTCCGTGAATATTGTACTCTTTCTTCATAGCAATAAAGTCATTATTTTTCGAGATATTTCAAGTTAAACATGAAGCAGCACAATTATTTTGATTTTAATGTGTATCATAATGTCGATATTTTGGATCAATGGACTGCATTCATCAATCAAATGAAACTTCAATCCATATTAACATAAAAACATAACATAACAGATGGGAGCTGTTACAGGGCGTTTTAAATTTGTTAATATATTACATAATTAAACACCGTGTATCAGCTCCTGTCTGTTATGTAATTATGTTTTGATTGTTAAGATTGATTGAAGTTTCATTTCATTGATGAATACAATCCATTGATCCAGAATATTGACAAAATTAATGCACATTGAAATTAAAATATCTCGAAAAATAATGACTTTATCGCCATGGAGAAAAAGCACAATATCTACGTCAAAATTGTTGGAGAATCGAAAATTTGTGATAGAATTGCAATTCCGCCAGTGGCGTAGAATTTGGGAGGAATCAACCAATTAATTGCCCCTGTCGTACGCCTCTGGTAATAGCTAGAAAAGTTCATTTCACATAATTCAGTTGGGTGTATGATACCTACACTTCCCTCCAAATATGAAAGTGATACGTCAAATAATTTTGAAAAACTGGGCAAAAAACATTTCGAAATTTTAGAATAAAACACCCTGTAACTCAGACCGGAGACATATTTTATCTAGGTGATTTGGGTTGAATCTTCATATTTTGAGTTCGGGATTCTATGGTTGTAATATTTCCAATTAGTAATGAAACACCCTGTATACCTTTATTTCTCTTCTCCAAACCTTTTTCAATACACATTGTCACTGATGCTACGGAAACCACTATCCACCAGCGGTGGTTGTAGCTTAGTTATCTCAGGGTGCGTGTGTTGGCAAGCAGAGGAAGTAAAACGCAGGGTTGACAGGGGTGACCAGTTTATTTTAAGGACGGCAGATTATTTGCACTTTAGGACGGTTCGGCGATGGTGATTGGTTGCGTTTCTCTATGGGGTCCCGAAGCGATTCCAAGCTAGATACAAAGAGAAAAATCACTATCCTCGATACCGTTCATCATAATTTGGAGGTTAATTTACAGAAACATTGATTCAAAAAACAATTTCAGGTTGAAATATCACCGAGAAAGCATTTACACTCGCAAGTAGTCTAATCACCAACAAAATTGAATCAATCCTAATTAAATCATTCGGCCCGAGACCGGGAAACAAGACTTAACCAAAAGCTTCAGCCCGTGGCTTTGTAATCACGAAAACACATTAAACATTATCACTCACCTAGATACCAGATTCCAGTAGAGCTTCACAACTGCAGGCAGGTGAATTCATACCACATTCAAAGGCTACCCAAAAAGGAATAACTTGTTACACCACGAAGAATTGACAACGACTCAACTAGCACACAGGTCAGCCATTACACGCTCCCACATCAACACCTTCGTTCACTTCGAACGATCGGTTTCATACCAAAATCGTAATCAGTGCCTGCCGGGACCTCATACAGATCGAGATCGAACGCTATACAGGGCACTGCACCGAATTATCGGGCGCGATGAATGACCACAGATAGATGGGTCATTCGTGTCATTGGCACCTAGGAGAGGGCGCCATAAGGGGTTTTGTCACATCTTGCCCACCGATCTCCTCCGACAAATCCTAGGGAGGAGGGGGAGATCCCTCAGGAAATTCCCATGACCCTAGTTACAGGCCAACGTGCTCACTCGGGGGAAAGTATCGCTTGATATGACTCACGTGGAACAATCCCCGCTCCACTCCTTTGTCTGCATCGAAAAGGACGTAAGTGTCATAGCTGACGCGTTTTTTCACTTGATACGGCCCTTCGAAAAGCGGCAAGAACTTCTTAGTGACGGCCTTGAGCGCCGACGACGCCGGATTGGCTTCCAGCAATACCAGATCCCCAGGTTCAAACTCTACATTCCGTTTGGACGAGCTCCGTCCGGCTCGGCGGGCGGCCTTGTTCTGCAAAGCCTCCCGGGCCAAGATGAGTTTCTGTTCAGTAGATGTTTTTGGTGAGTTTACCACCGGCCCCCGGTATTGGTCGGGTAGAACTCGTGACGGAGCTACACCAAGCTGGAGTTCCACCGGACTGAATCCCGTCGTCTCATGTATCAGATTGTTGAGAAATTCTGCAAAACGGGGCAACTCATTTGCCCACCGAGTATGCTGCCCAGCGCAATAAGTCCGACATAACCGACCAATCTCTCTCATAGTACGCTCACTCGGATTTGACTGGGGGTGGCGGATGGATGAGAACACCACCTGCACTCCCGCCGCAATTAGCGCGTCCCTCCATTTAGGAGTATTGAACTGCGTTCCATGGTCCGAGAGAATCCTCCTAGGAATACCATACTTCTCAAAGTAATCCCTCTCCAAGCGGTTCAGAATAGCCCGGGTCGTAGCTTTCTTCAATGCGTAGAATGTAACAAACTTAGTGAATACGTCGAGTACGACACAAATGAATACAACACCGCCTCGACTAGGGGGCAGTGGGCCATAAAGATCTAACGCCACCAAATCCCCCTTGCCTTCAGGAATAATTGGACGGATTTGCGCTTGAGGAAGTAGTGAAGTTTTCGACCGTTGACAAATGTCGCACTCTCGTAACGTCCGCTTGATATCCGGGCCCATATTGGTCCACCAGACTTCATTTTTTAACGCCTTCCAAGTTTTATAGCGCCCAAAGTGACCCAGCTGCTCATGAAATGCTTTGACGAACACCGGTGCCAAACTTTTCGGAATGCACAACCGGTAATAAGAATCTGGACCACCATTTATATAGAGCAGCCCTGCATGCTCTGCGAAACGTGTCTGCAAGTTTTCATCATTCGACAACTTCGCCAGAATATCGCCTAATTTCGGGTCTGCCCTTTGCCGTTGACCGAAATCTCTCAATAGTGATTTTAACTCCACGGGAAACTGAACCATGGACAGAATTTTGAACTCTTTGCTGCTAGGTGACGGCGGACGAGGCAAGGTAAACCGCGACAACGAATCTGCAACGACATTTTTCGAACCGGGTACATGTTCTAAGGTGAAATCGTACTCTTGCAACGCCAAGGCGTAGCGAGAAACCCGCGCTGATAAGAGTCTGCAGGTCTTCAAATAGGTCACTGAACTATTGTCCGTGTATACTTTAAACTCCTTACCCAACAGAAAAATTCGAAACCGTTGAAGCGCCCAGACCACCGCTAACGCTTCCAGCTCGTTAATAGAATACCTCGTCTCTCGATCCAACAACCGGCGACTTGCCCAAGCTACTGACCTATTTTCCCCGTCAACAACTTGGAATAGGTGGGCGCCTAGGGCCACTTCCGAGCTGTCCGTCTGCAGACAAAACGGCAGATCATTTCGAGGATGGTACAATAAAGTATTTTTACACAGACTCGCCTTCAGGTCCTCAAATGCCCGCTGCTCTACCTCAGTCCATTGCCAACGTCGTTTACTCCGCAATAAGTCCGTTAATGGGGCCGCGACAGCTGAAAAATTCTCCATGAACGACCGATCAAAATTGGCCAGGCCCAAAAATCGCTGGAGCTGCTTGGCATTCCGGGGAGGGGAATAATCCTGCAACGCCTGTACGCGAGACGGATCGGCTCGAATATGTTCAGGAGTAATGCGATACCCAAGGAATTGCATCTCCTGTCGAAAAAACGAACATTTTTTTAGACGTAAGGTAAATCCAGCTTGTCCTAACCGCGTTAAAACCGCGTCTAGGTGCTCGAGATGTTGCACGAGATTCTGCGAAATGATCAGAATATCGTCCACGTAAATCGTGACAAACGCGTCAAACTCGGGACCTAATATAGTGGTCAAACAGCGCATGAACGTACTGACACTCGTGCAAAGGCCGAATGGTAACCTACAGAAGACGTAGGTCTTGCCATCAAATTGGAAACCCGTATATTGCTGACTATCTTCTGACAAAGGAATTTGATAATAACCTTGCGTGAAATCGATACTGGACATAAACCGTATTGGCCCCATGGTATGCAAGATTTCTTCCATAGACCGGGGTGCTTCATATTCTTTTTCCATAAGAGTATTCAAAAACCTCGCGTCTAGACATATCCGGACCGAGTTGTCCTTTTTAAGGGTAGTCATGATGGGCGAGACGTACTGCGTTGCGCGACGTTTTATAATACCCCACTCTTCCAACTGATCTAACTGCTTTTGTACGGCGGCTTTGTGAGCTATGGGTACCGGGTACTGTTTTTTGAAAAATGGTTGGTCTATTCTCATTTTAATTCGATGCGTATATTCATTCGTGTGACCCGGATGATCCGAAAAAATCCCAACATGCTTGGTCAGCAACTCGCGAAACTTTTCCTTATCTTCGGCGACTAGCCCACATTCCGCCAAAATGGCGTCAATTTCGTCTTCATCGCTCATTTGGTTGGACAAAAACGCGATTTTCGATTCTTGGCGAGTATGAATAGCTCTGAGATTTACCGGACCCACTGAACCGAGAGTGTGTCTTACGTCGAGTTCCGGCACCTCAATTCGGTCGCCATTTATCTTAAGAATCAGTTCGTTGGTCTCCAAGCTAATAATCGCTTGAACTCTGCGCAAAAAATCGGTACCTAAGATGACGGGGTACGCTAACTCCGGGATGTATAAAAATTCGTGATGGAATACCCTATCTGTTATTGAAAAAGTCACTAACGATTGGTGGACCACTCGACGTTGTTTCATCTTGAACGCCCCCGAAACCTTTACCCCGGAGCACGCAAACGTAGGCATTTGACTTTTGAATTCTGAAACTCCCGTCCATACTTCTTCCCCGTACGCACAAATTTCACTTCCGGAGTCGACTAACGCCGGAAATGGACAATCGAAAATCAATATACTGATTACCGGACACCTTGAGTTTAATGTTTCGTGGTCGCCCTCACATTCGGTTAACAGATCCTCTTTGGTGTCCAGAATTCCGTGGGATGCCCTACCTAACACAGCCTGCACAACCGGACCTATAGTTGGGCAGACTCCTTCCCGTTTCCCGACTCCTCCTCTTTTTCCTCACTCTCCCTATTAATTTCAAGGTTTGCGATTTGTTTCGGTCCGGTATGATAGTCAGTACGTTTAGGAAACGCTCCCCTCGATGTACGACTCATTTCACCACCAGTATTCGGCCTGTATCGCCCTTCATGTCCGACCGATGGACCCCTAATCACGCTTTGGCCTCGAGGCTCGTTGCTAAAATAATAGTCTGCTTGTCTCAGCCTTTCCATTGCATCAGCAAACGTGGTTGTCCCTACCAACACCGCCGAAATGCTCGGGGGAAAATGTCTCGCAATGGTTTGGATCAACAACCTTTCCGAGTATGGTGGTTCTAGATATTTGGCTTTCACTAAATATTTCATGAAGTGATCTACTAGTGAACCACTTGATTCCCGATACCTAGCTGCTTGCAACTCTAACCTCACTTCCAGCTGCCTAGTTTCTGACCAAAAATGGGAGATAAACGCGTTTTGAAAATCTTCAAAATTGTGACACCACTGCAAATACGCCTGACCCCACAAAAAAGCTTTGCCCTTCAACTGATTTCCTAACACCAATTTAAAATTACTAAAGGACCACTTTTCCAACCGGAACCATTGTTCCATCACCTTGACAAACTCAACCGGATGTGGGCCTCTTTCATCATCAAACACCGGGATCCTTTTATTCCATTCACTCATACCACCATCTCTAGACATCCCTACCACCGTCGCTTCTTCTGGATCTGAAGTCTGGGCAGGTGTGACACCTTGTAGGTTGACATTTCTTTGCAACTAGTTCACCACTTTATCTAATAATGATATGAATTGTTGTTCACTTAATACCGTCATCACGGGCTGTGCTCCTGATGAAGTGTTATTTTGAGCACTGGCTCCCTGCCTATAATAACTTTCCTGCCCCATTACATTTGTATGTTGAGGCTGACTCCTCGATGTGTCAGAAAAAACCTTACTTGGTCCTAAATTTACATTTTTATACACATTTGCGCTATAAGTAGGGTTAATATGACCTTGGCTTCCAACATTTGTGTTGCCATGGCATGGAAAACCAGTTGTATTGGGTGGAAACGCTTGATGATTATTTACATAATTTGAATTTTGCTGTCGACTTGCTCGGACACCCTGTATATCCGCACTAATATTTTCACTCTCATTTCTAGGAAAAACTACATTTTCACCAAATACACCTAGCCTTGCTTGTGATCCAGGATTATTATCTAACCTTACATTGCTATGCCCTGTAGTAGGTACACCCGGTATATTAAAATAGGGAATTTGGACATTAACATTATCTCTTCTAGAGTTATCAATAAACCTAATGCTAGGACTTAATTCAACTGGTGGTGGTTGAAAACCAAAATTCTCATCAATGGTCACCTTGTGTGGCACTGCGTTTTGTGCACCACCCTGTAAATGACTATTGAATTTTTCGAAATTTAAATTTTCGCTATCTATATGTCCGTCTAAACCTCTACTATTATTGTTGATATTCAACTCAGAAAAACTTCTAGCAAATGCGCCATGTGGCTGTGAGTCTTGCAATGTTTTACTAAGCACTGGTTGATTATTTTGACTAAACAAACTTGGCATGTTAGTTCTCTCTGCTGGTGAATTTGTCTCTGATGGTAATTGAAAGTTTGTTGAATGAGCACCTGAGGATGTTCTCAAGTTGGACTCACTCAACTGCTGCACCTCACCCCTCTCTGGACCTGATGTTGTTTGGGGGTGATCTACACCAGCCAGTTCCTTTTCACCAACATTTAATAATAAAGATCTCCTACCTTGTGGAGTGTTTTGCCCACCTGGCTGTACTACGTCCTGGCCTACCTCCATACTGCCAAAAGTTCCAGATGATGTTTTAGGAATACTTCCTGTAGGATATCTCGTTCTGCTCCTTGTCTTGTAGCCCTCACTGGGAGACCTCCCCAGTGGCATTTTTCAGTTGGATGAAAATCTGGATTCCACCCTGTATACCTCCTGCTTGCCCCTAAGTCGGGTGCCAGATGCTACGGAAACCACTATCCACCAGCGGTGGTTGTAGCTTAGTTATCTCAGGGTGCGTGTGTTGGCAAGCAGAGGAAGTAAAACGCAGGGTTGACAGGGGTGACCAGTTTATTTTAAGGACGGCAGATTATTTGCACTTTAGGACGGTTCGGCGATGGTGATTGGTTGCGTTTCTCTATGGGGTCCCGAAGCGATTCCAAGCTAGATACCAGATTCCAGTAGAGCTTCACAACTGCAGGCAGGTGAATTCATACCACATTCAAAGGCTACCCAAAAAGGAATAACTTGTTACACCACGAAGAATTGACAACGACTCAACTAGCACACAGGTCAGCCATTACACGCTCCCACATCAACACCTTCGTTCACTTCGAACGATCGGTTTCATACCAAAATCGTAATCAGTGCCTGCCGGGACCTCATACAGATCGAGATCGAACGCTATACAGGGCACTGCACCGAATTATCGGGCGCGATGAATGACCACAGATAGATGGGTCATTCGTGTCATTGGCACCTAGGAGAGGGCGCCATAAGGGGTTTTGTCACACTGACAAGCTAGTGAATTTTTCATTTAGGATCTCTGATTGGAAAATTCTTTAAACGCAGTGACATTATGGGGCAAATCATCTGATTTGTCCTTACTACACGTATATTGGAATAATGTTGATATTTTCATTTCATAGAGACGAGGAGAGAAAATCCAAAATAATCTGGAATAATGAATAGGTATATAAAGGGCTTTCACACAGGGTTGATAGTGACGTCAATATGTCAACACATACAGTGTTGCCAGTTGAAAGAAAATGACTGAATGACCAACCGCCCGAATATGGATATGTCTAGTGTTACGATCGTCGGACGTTATAATGTTTTTTGGAACCAACTCAAAAGCCGTCCATTTATGTTTCAAAATCAGCACTTGAAGTTGATAAATGAACTTCAATATTTTTATTTCATGAACCATGAACCTAAACAATATACTGAATATGAAATTTAATGATAATGAAATTCTTATAAAGAATAATAACTTGAAGAATGATTTATTATATAACAACATCAACAAACAATCACAGATATTGACATTGAAAATAACTTATTTTTCTACCAATACACAATTTTGTCTTGAATTCATTTTTTTTTTAAATAAAACTGATCAGTATTCACAATTACTTAGTGAAAATAATAAAAACTTATTGGTGAAATGGAATAGAAATAAATAGTGGTGCATCTACTTATATTGCAAATTATGGAATGGACAACAAGAGTTGTTCTTACTTCAATATTCTCCATACAGTCAGTAGAAATACTTATTTCAAATGCAGCAGCTACTCTCTGTAATTCAGACAAATCATATTTGGATCATTCTGACAACACAAAATATCATTATTAATACCATCATTCAACTTACATCTCTCACAGCAGTCATTGGAAGTAACGGGCCATCGTTATCACGTTCATTTTCGAAATATTGTATCAATGATACGCCATCTACTGCGCCTCCGCACTCAATAATTTAGGCATTTTGAATAAATCGAATTTCACCTATGATCCACAAATAAATCACAAACAATTCCTTGCAAGTACGAATTGGCAGTAATGAATAATTCCCAGAGATCAGCTGATGCCAACTTAAATTGATAACGCGGTTCGCCCATTTCGAAAGTTACTAGTATTTTTCGATGTGCAGTTTTGGCACGACATTGTTACCAAGTATTGCGCAACTATCAACCTAGCATGGAAGCCCTTTACCTATACATTATTGCATGTATAATAATATCCACAAATGTAAAATGATAAAGTCATTGTACTCATTGTTTTATAAAGTAAGGGAATAGGAAATGAAATTGGGATATACAATGTACCTCATTGTTTTATTGAAAAAAGTTATGAAAGCAAGTTAAGAGAGCTTTTTTGTGTTATAGCCATAGAAAAACGTTTGAAGAATGCTTACCCAATCTTGCTGATAGTCTTTGCATGAGAAGACCCAACAGGGTGGCACTAAGTAATACCCATAACAATTTGTATTGAGCTACTGTACCACTTTGTAGATCACTTTCTATGTTTCCTGGATCCAGGTATGCGATGGACATCAAGAACCCAGGACCAGTAAATGCCCATAATTTTTTAAAGCTAAAACCCTCCTGAAATGAAAATAAATCGGAATACAAAATTCTGGAAAATAAAGAAAAATAATGTTTATTGTGATTTAATTTTTTAACAAATTTTTAACTGAAATTGTGCCTTGGATAATTAGTTGTGTTCTATCGACCTAAAATATTCTCAGCGTTGCGACGTTGCCGCTTATATTGAAAAGTAGCAATAACTTTGATTTTTCCAATGGAACACCCTGTATATCATTCCATTTTCAGATTCTCCCTGAAGAGTTGATTCCATCGATCTATCACACTTGGGGTCTAGCGGGAATGATAACAAAGATATAGGGTGTGAAAAATCCGAGGAAAAATCGAAATTTTTTCAACTTCAAGAATTTTTTGTGTCGAAACTATTCATAATTGATCGAGACGATTTTCATGTCTTTATCTTAACTTTCAATGTACTATCAATTGATATTTAATTGAAATAGATACAGGGTGGTCAAAAATCTTAATTCTGAACCACCTTGTACCTATTTCAATTAAATATTAATTGATAGTAAATAAAAAGTTGAGATAGGGACATGTGAGCCGTTTTGACCAATTATGAATAGTTTCGACACAAAAAAATCTTAAAGTTTAAAAATCACGATTTTTCACACCCTATATCTCTGTAATTGTCACTGTTAGACCCCAAGTGATATAGGTCGATGAAATCAGCTCTTCAGGGAGAATCTAAAAATGGAATAATATACAGAGTGTCCTATTCAAAAAATCAAAGTTGTTGCTACTTTTCAATATAAGCGGCAACGTTGCAGTGCTGAGAATATTTTAGGTCGATAGAGCACAACGAATTATCCAAGGCACCAAATTTTCAGAAAAATCCCAAATTACGTTCTCCAGAAACGTGCCTTCCACCGTTAATCAGCCTGAATAAATACTATGTAACCTCAATATTCTATTGACTTTTTTATGTTTGAATATCATCGTAATATGAAATGATTTGAATTTGTTCCGTAATGAATTTCTAGAATCTCTTCATGATAAAAATCGCATAATTCATTGACTTGCAATGGTGTAATCATCTAACATCTACACTACATACCCTGAGCTTGATCTACTGCCATTTAACTTCAACTGAAAAAATTAAGAGGAAGACTGCCAACTAGGAACATTGCTGCATAATTTCCTAATCATTAATGGTAATTTAATAAAATGCAGTTTCTTGACTTCATATAGTGTTGCATAATAAAATTGTCGCAATGTTACGATAATGTTAAGTTACATAATTATAATTGAATAATGAATGAAGAGTATTATTAAAAGTTGATTGATGTAAAAAAACGTTGAAATTATATTAGATCCTATTAAAGGTACGATAATGTCAAAAGCATCAGCAAATTGTGAAAAATATGCCGTTTTAACTTTCGTTATACTGGAGCGTATCATTTTCTACTGAAAAGGTAATAATTCGCGTGGATTTATGCCGTTTTCTGGCACTTTCGGCCGTCCGAAGATGGCTTGGTGACTATATCGTACTGAAGTCTCAGCTGCGAAAATGAAAATTTTTATTTGGCCTATTAAAAATCTGGAAAAATTCACATAGACCAATTCGATGTCGTTAAGAACGAATCTGTGGTGAAAATCCGGAAATTTCATAAAATGGAGACGTAGTAGCCTACCGCAGTGCTCTTATTGGCAATAAAAGCGGCAAGCTGACTTTGAGCGCCGATATCTCGAAAACTATCTGTCCTATCGGGCTGATCATGGTCTCATTCGATTCAGCGTATCATTTTCTACCGGAAAAGTGAAAATTCGCGTGGATTTCCGCCGTTATCTGGCACTTTCGGCCGTCCGAAGATGACTCGGTGACTATATCGTACTGAAGTCTCAGGTGAGAAAATGAAAATTTTTATTTGGCTTATTAAAAATCTGTAAAAATTCACATAGACTAATTCGATGTCGGAATGAACGAATCTGCGGTGAAAATCGGGATATTTTGAAAAATGGAGACGTAGTAGCCTACCGGAGTGCTCCTAATGGCAATAAAAGCGGAAAGCTGACTTTGAGCGCTGATATCTCAAAAACTATCTGTCCTATCGAGCTGATCATGGTATCATTCGATTCAGCGTGCCATTTCCTACTAGTAAAGTGATAAGTCGCGTGGATTTCCACCGTTTTCTGGCACTTTCGGCCGTCCGAAGATGGCTGGTAGATAGTTGATCAAAAGTTGAGACAGAGACATGTGAGCCGTTTTGACCAATAATGAATAGTTTCGACATAAAAAATTCCTGAAGTTGAAAAATGTCGATTTTTCACACCCTATATCTCTGTAATCATTTCCGCTAGACCCCAAGTGTGATACATCGATGAAATCAGCTCTTCAGAGATAATCTGAAAATGCAATAAAATACAGGGTGTTCCATTTAAAATAACAAAGTTGTTGCTACTTTTCGATAGATGCGGTAACGCCGCAGAGCTGAAAATATTTTAGATCGATAGACCAAAAGCGAATACGTGAGTAACCAAAATTTCAGAATGATCCTATGTCCCGTTCTCCGTAAACGTCTAACGTACCATGAACCGTGAGTTACTCTGTATAACGATTAGAAGTACCTATATAGTAAGAGCATATTTCAGAGGATTATCTATCGTTTGAATTATTACTTTGGCCTTCACTGATTGCACACCCTGTGTGATACTTGTCATAAATCATCATCGATAATTATTATTCTTGATAAGCAATCCTAGAAATAGTTTGGATAGATAGATTATATTTTCAACAACTATTTTTGTGGGTCATAAGCATAAGAGATATGTATTGATCACACCTCCTCCCCCACTTCCTCGTTCTGATAACGTACTAATGGGGTATACTTATTAATCAAGGAACTGCAAATACCTATTAGACACATATATACTGATTAGACAAAAATTATCTATGTTCAAGGTTGCTTTAGATAACTCGGAAATAGCTCATGCGATCATGATGATTATGTTTATATAATAGACATATGTATTGGAAGGAGAATCCCATCGCTTCAGGTAGTTTTGGCGTATAAACGGTATATTCGAAGAATGAGAATCCATCTTTGTAGAAAATCAATCGTATCTTCCTTAAAAAGGAATATTCTCAGATATAATTATGAACATAAAAAAATTGATAGATACATAATCATCATATGAGATGAAAATATCAATTCTTTCTCGTTTTATTCAACAGAAAACAACTACTTTCCTGGCTATTTGCCACGTCGAACATTGAATTATATCTGTTAAATATCCAAAAAGAGAGCATGAAAGATGAAAATCTGAAATTGAGAATTGACATTATCTCTCAAATCAGATAAAAATATGACGTATTTTGATATAAGTTATATTTTAAGATGTCAATTCTCAATTTTCAGAGGATTTTCACTTTTCATGCTCTCTCTTTGGATGTTCAACAGACATAATTCAATGTTCGACGTGGCAAATAGCCAGGAAAGTAGTTGTTTTCTGTTGAATATTCAGAATGATATTATGTACATATCTTTATATGAAGGAGAATGCGAATTCTCTACTTCAGAAGGTTTTGTTTTCAAATTCTTATCGTGTGTGTTCAATAGATATAATTCAATGTTCGTCGTGGCATATAGCCAGGAAAGTAGTTGTTTTCTGTTGAATAAACCGAGAAAGAATTGATATTTTCATCACAAAGAGATTGTGACCCATTTAAGATGGAAGCACCCTTATAAAACTTACACATTTTTCAACCGATTGGAATGATTTTTTTTTTGTTAGGTAGATATTCAAAAAGTCTATTAGGACACCAAATATCATGAATAAATCTCCCATTTCCAGGGCCAACTAATCTGATTTTTCAAGGTCAAAAATCTAAAAAAATTACTAACGATTTTTTTAGAAAAAATCTGACTACACCACTGGATTTGTGACATTTTCAAATGGGTAACATGTAAATTACGTTGAAATGCGTCAATCAATAAAAAAGTTATAAAGGAATGAAATTTGAAAAATATGCCGTTTAATCAACCCATCAATTTTTATTACTGAACAGATTTCGATGAAACTGTGATCAGTAATATTTCAAGACATCCTGAATCCAGTGGAGTATACAGAATTTTCATAAAATTCCTGAACATGAATTGGTGGGTTGATTAAACGGCATATTTTTCAAATTTCATTCCTTTATAACTTTTTTATTGATTGACGCATTTCAACGTAATTTACATGTTACCCATTTGAAAATGTCACAAATCCAGTGGTGTAGTCAGATTTTTTCTAAAAAAATCGCTAGTAATTTTTTTAGATTTTTGACCTTGAAAAATCAGATTAGTTGGCCCTGGAAATGGAGATTTATTCATGATATTTGGTGTGTTAATAGACTTTTTGAATATCTACCTAACAAAAAAAAAATCATTCCAATCGGTTGAAAAATGTAAGTTTTATAAGGGTGCTTCCATCTTAAATGGGTCACACTGTATATCCATTTTTTTATGTTCATAATTATATCTGAGAATATTCCTTTTTAATACTTCCACCCAATCAAAGGGTTCAAATTTGAACGATAAAAACTTGTTATTTTTATAGACCTTCGATCGCAGACTCGTGATTAGGTTCTCTCAATTCAGAATTTCTACCACGTCCTGTATGATGAATATCAATTCATCATACATTCAAAAACATATCTTTCTTCTTTCTTATGAGTGTTTCCGGGTGATTTTATTTGTTCATGCATATTTGTTTATTGGAAACGATTCATTTGAAACCTTTTTTTACCCCACCACAACATTTTTGATACGGTATTTTTGGTTTTCACCCAGTATTATAAGAAGTTTACTGGAGATTCAGATGATATTCATTACCTGAAGTGGATAATATTATTCTACTTCCACAAAATAAATATTTAATAAAGATATCTCAGATGATGGGTTCATCCAACCTGGGATAATAATACAGATCTTATATATCCTGATAATCCTCATAAGTATCTCAATTATTAAATTGTCTAGACTGAAAATCAGGAAAAATATCAGAACAAACGTAACGTAAGAATATAAGTATACAAAAAATAACGATATTTAGAAAAATGAAAAAGGTGAAGGAATTGAATACGATACAAAAAGACATACAGGGTGTATCTAAATAACACCGAAAAAATTCAAGGAGTGTTATTTCCTTGTGATATTCTAGCAAATGAAGTTCATATAAACATGTCCTAGCTTGCTCCGTTTTTGAGATACAGGATGTTGAAGTTGAAAGTATCAATTGATTTCATTCATAACCCCCCGGTATAAGCTTTCATGGTGCCAAACTTCAGTATGGATGGAGACTGAGAATGCCCCAAAATTTCAAAATGGTTCTAATTTGGGTTATTGAGTAATCTCAATGGAAGTCTTGAGAACACCTACATTAAATTTGGAGTCAAATCGAATTTTTATTGTTTCCTCAAAAATTAAGCTAGATACAAAAATTTTATTTTATTATTATTATTTCGAATTTAATTGCACTAGAAGAAGTCCCATATTACTATCAACAAAACCACAACGTTTTATTGAAATTGATGAGAAGGCAATTGAGAAATGAATAGAAAACATATTTTTCATGGAAATATTAATACTTGAATTGTTTCCTTTAAGAAATATTCATCGAATTTTTTTCTCTGTATTTATGATCATTGAAGTCACTGGTGAAATATTGCACACTTTTTCTGGGACACTCCGTATAATATCCGTGAGCGGTATTTTAATTGTTGAAAAACAATGCCTTCTCAAGCTGGAAATCAATTAAAGTTGGTGATAACTGATAGTGTTTATCAAAGTGTTGGTCATTTAGATTTTCCTATCACTTGCTTTCAATGTGCAAACATTTCAACTTTTGTTTATTTGGAAATTTTGTATAACCATTTCTCAGATGTCTTCTGGTAAAACCTCAATTATCTAAGAATGTTATTGATGTATTCAAATCAATTTCCAGAAACATGCATGATAGCAAAGTTGATAAAAATAGTTCAAAAGATCACAATTGTTGAAATTCCCCATATATCTAAATACAATAGATAGTAGTTTAGTAGGTAACTACTGTAAAATCTTCGGACGGCAGAAAGTGCAAGAAAACGGCGGAAATTCACGCGAATTATCGCTTTTTCGGTAGAAAATGACACGCTGAATCGAATGAGACTACGATCAGCCCGATAGGACAGATAGTTTCCGAGATATCGGCGCTCAAAGTCAGCTTCCCGCTTTTATTGTCAATAGGTGCACTCCGGTAGGCTACTACGTCTCCATTTCTCGAAATTTTCAAATTTTCACCACAGATTCGTTCATTTCGACATCGAATTAGTCTAAAAGATTTTTTTCAGATTCTTAATAGGCCAAATAAAAATTTTCATTTTCCCACCTGAGACTTCAGTACGATATAGTCACCGAGCTATCTTCGGACGGCAGAGTGTGCCAGAAAACGGCGAAAATTCAAGCGAATTATCGTTTTTCCAGTAGAAAATGACATGCTGAATCGAATGAGACCATGATCAACCCGATAGGACATATAGTTTTCGAGTTATCAGCGCTCAAAGTAAGCTTTCCGCTTTTATTGCCAATAGGTGCACTCCGGTAGGCTACTACGTCTCAATTATCTAAAATTTCCTAATTTTCACCACAGATTCATTCATTTCGACTTCGAATTAGTCTATGTGCATTTTTTCAGATTTTTAATAGGCCAAACAAAAATTTTCATTTTCCCACCTGAGACTTCAGTACGATATAGTCACCGAGCTATCTTCGGACGGCAGAAAGTGCCAGAAAACTGCGAAAATTCACGCGAATTATCGCTTTTCCAGTAGAAAATGACACGCTGAATCGAATGAGACCACGATCAGCCCGATAGGACAAATAGTTTTCGAGTTATCAGCGCTCAAAGTAAGCTTTCCGCTTTTATTGCCAATAGGTGCACTCCGGTAGGCTACTACGTCTCAATTATCTAAAATTTCCTAATTTTCACCACAGATTCATTCATTTCGACATCGAATCAGTCTATGTGAATTTTTTCAGATTTTTTATAGGCCAAATAAAAATATTCATTTTCCCACCTGAGACTTCAGTACGATATATAGTCACCGGGCTATCTTCGAACGGCAGAAAGTGACATAAAACTGCGGAAATTCACGCGAATTATCGCTTTTCCAGTAGGAAATGACACGCTGAATCGAATGAGACTACGATCAGCCCGATAGGACAGATAGTTTTCGAGATATCGGCGCTCAAAGTCAGCTTTCCGCTTTTATTGCCAATAGGTGCACTCCGGTAGGCTACTAAGTTTCAATTATCCAAAATTTCCTAATTTTCACCACAGATTCCTTCATTTGACATCGAATTAGTCTATGTGAATTTTTTCAGATTTTTGATAGGCCAAATAAAAATTTTCATTTTCCCACCTAAGACTTCAGTACGATATAGTCACCGAGCTATCTTCGGACCGCAGAAAGTGCCAGAAAACGGCGGATATTCACGCGAATTATCGCTTTTCCAGTGAAAAAATGACACGCCGAATCGAATGAGACCATGATCAGCCCGATAGGACAGATAGTTTTCGAGATATCGGCGCTCAAAGTCAGCTTTCCGCAGTAATACCATTTCTCAACCTCTGAATTGTTGAAAAAATTAAGAGTAGGTATCTTCCAAAATAAAAATAAACAAATATATATTAATGCAACCCAAACAAAATTGCCAGAATTGTATCTCATATATTTGGTCAATGTATATAAAAACTGGATTATATGGAATATCATATCTTCAATCAATATACAAATTTAAAATGTTCACCTTCATTTATTCAGTCAAACACAATTATCCACAACACATTCCACTTTGAATTTCAAAATAAATGGTAAAATATACATTCACATTCAACTAGACAATCAGATATATTTTACCTTATTGAAATCAAATCTGAATTTGGCATATTATACAGGGTGCTATTTTTTCTGCAACCGAAACAATTAACTCCAATAAACATGTGAAGTAACCACCAATGCCGTGCCATATGTATGCAATGCAACAAATATTGACAAATTATCAGTGTGGTGAGAATATTCTACCTGCATTAACAGCAGGTTAGGTTTTCAAGGATGTTCGAATTGTAGTTACAAATATAAATACAACCACAGAGTGACATATTTGTGTATGGACCAGGTGCTCTAATGGCAAATACCGCGCTAGTGCCAGGTATAGGAACAAGAAGTGGAAAATCTGAGGTTAGTGAGCATATCAACAATGATAATAGTGATTATTTATTCCTCTCCATAATACACTGTGTTTGACTTGATAATCAAATGAAGCTGAACAATATCGTTGTTTGAGACAAAAAAACGATTGCTTGCAGTGTTTATTAAAAAACAAGTTATCCATCCCGAGAATAAAGAATGGAATACAGATCAAGCAAGTATTTGAATCTTGAAGGCTTCCCTGATCAAAACAAAAATACTTAACTAAGATTTTTATAATTCCAATACTAAACTATAAGAAGGTGTGTATTTATATCTCCAGCATGGGTATGAAATGCCATATCTGCTGAAATCGGAAACAAATCAGGTATGCGTCTCAACCCAAATAACCAACCGTCACAATGTTGTTTATTCTTGATGACGTCCACTACATCCTTTTTAGTTCCTAGGAGCTAAAGTTCAACTTTAGCTCCAAGGAACTAAAATTCAACTTTAGCTCCTAGGAACTAAATATGTTGCCTAGCAACATACGTATTTTTGTGTCAGTAATAGAAACGTCAATTTAAGAGCTAATTTTGGTATCGAAATGGACGACTTTTGTGTCGGTTGCAGAAAAACATATTTTTTGTGAACTTTTTCCTGGAAATAATAAAGATACTCACATAATTTTAGTCAAAATTTTAAATGGCACTTACATGTGATGATTCGGGAATTTTAATTCTGTTCTCTGCAAAATATGTTTGATTGGCAGATAGCCTGGTATTTTCGGATGCCCCAGATGCACTAGGGGCACCGTCGAAATTTGGCAAAGGATCTTTATTGGACTCACTAGTACCATCGCTAATTTCACCAGAAGAATTTGAAATATTAGCAACTCCCTTGGCCATCTGAAAACAAACATGAAAATCATTGGACGAGTCATTTATTTTTTCTACAAGCGTGCGTGATTCACCCTATACCCGCATGCAATTTAGTTTGGGAAGTGCAGGGCCGGACTCGCCCGATGGCCTGGCTAATTTTTGGCCCGCTGGCATGGGCCTGCCTGTTAGAGCTTTATTTTATACCCGATATTTGGTAGAAATTTCAAATTTCATACAAACGAATGTTTATTCCACGCTGATCTAGAAAAGGTATAAAGATATTCAGTGACATGTCTATTTCACAAGTTGCATGTAACTATGTAAGGAGTTCTTTTCTATATCAAAATTAATTTTAAATGGAGTATGAAACTGTCTGTCCCAAGATCACGTGGAGGCTTTTATATTAATATCTTCTGAAATAGTTATTTATGTATCAAGGGCGTAATGTAGGCGTCAGCCGAGGCCATTACACGGAAAAAAATGTCAAAACTGCAGCGTGAAATGTCTTTTTTTATTGTGACAATTTAATTTATTTACATAACATCCCGTATGCCGCTGTGATTTTGTCATTATGACAGCGAAAAAATTTTCCCCTTACATTTATAGCAACAGAACGGAAATTTAACATTTGAATGCATGACAACCAAAACTATTAACAAACCTTTGATGGTTTTTATGTCATTTTTTCCCAAACTTGCTTTTTCAGAGTGGAACTATTGCGATTTGAAGAGTTTTCGAGTGGAGAAATTACGTATTCATTAAATTGTCTTTCGGGGTCGGAGATTATGATTCTTCCGTCAAATTTTGGAAATTCAAGATGGCGGATCCAACATGGCGGACGAGTTTTGTAATTATGGTCAGATTTCATTCAAAATTGGTATCTGGGGGTTTTCGAGGTCGGAGAATATGATTTCTATTCGTCAAATTTTGGAAATTCAAGATGGCGGATCCAACATGGCGGACGAGTTTTGTAATTATGGTCAGATTCTATTCAAAATTAGTATCTGGGGGTTTTCGGAGTCGGAGATTATGATTATTTCGTCAAAATTTGGAAATTCAAGATGGCAGATCCAATATGGCAGACGAGTTTTTTGTTTATAATGAGATTCCATTCAAAATTTGTATCGGGAGGTTTTTGGGGTCGGACATTATGATTCTTTTGTCGAAATTTTGAAATTCAAGATGTAGTAACCGATATAGCGAACAAGTTGTTATTATGATCCAATTCTATTCAAAATTGGTATCTGGGATTTTCGGGGTCGGAGATTATGATTCCAACGTAACAATTAGGCAATTGAAGATGGCGGATCCAATATGGCGGCCGAGTTTTGTGATTATGATACATATTCAAAATTTGAATCTGGGGGTTTTCGGGGTCGGAGATTATGATCTTTTTCTTCAAAATTGGGAAATTCAAGATGGCGGATCCAATATGACGAACTAGCTTTGTAATAAATATTAGTTTGAATAACTATTATGAAACACGCTTCAATAGATAGCCAAACTCGAGGCCAAACTGAAAAGAAGTAGAAAATTGATAGTATAGTTTAAAAACTAAAGAGATAGATTATCGAACCAAAAAGAAGTAGAAAATGGATAGTAGTGAACTGAAGGAACACGATTTTATGGATAGTCAAACTAAAAAGAAGTAGAAAATAAAATAACAAAAGTGTGTTGATGAATATTTAACTGAAAAAATATTTTCTAGAATTAGTGTTTATGGCAAAACATCGTTTGCCGGGTCAGCTAGTCTTTTATAAAAATCCGTTTTAGTTTTGAAAATGTGAAATCTCCAACAAAACAACTACTCCAGGAAGTCTCGATATTTTTGGTGGTGAATATTCTATATTAAGCAGTCGACCTTGAATTAAAAAAAACGCCTGCGAGGCACACTTTTTGACAGGTAAATTGGCCTGCTTTGGGAAATACGGCCGGCCCGTTTTGTATCTTCAGTCCGGCCCTGCATTCACGTTAGATAAGTAATCATGAGAACTACATGAAATTAACCTTGACATAACGTTACCTATATACAGTAAATTTCACAGGACTAATCACGATTACTGAGAAACTCATGATGAATTCAATACTTATTTATATACTGGGTGTAACAGAATCATGATACACCAAATCATTTTGAGGATCTTAATTTATTGATGAATCGAGAAATTTTACATTTTTTACAGGATTTAATTTTTTCAGCATTACACCAATCGATATAAAAACATCAGCCCTGATCAGACCCGATCAGAATAGTCATAGCACACAGATGGAAAATCGAAGATTGAATAAAAATCAATATTGAAGTTTGAAATTTCACTCATGTGGTATCATTGGATTCAGAAAATGATGCAGATTTTTAAAATGCAATAATATACAGGGTGTTCCGTTTGAGAATCAAAAGTTATTACTACTTCCGGTGAAACCGGAAGTGGAAAATAAAACATATTTATCTCTGAAACTAAAGGAGAAAATGGGGTGTACCAAGTACCTGTTACACCCAGTATATACCTCACTATTGTCGATCTAAAACGCTGATATAAATGGAGATTGGCGGAGATTGGAGAACAAATGACACTGCTATGAAAAACAGGGTGAGACAGTTTCAATAGGGACCAAACTCAGAGATGTTAATTCAGCTTTATTGATAATTTTTCAAGATATTTTTAGTCCAGAGTCCAATAATTTTGAATAGGTTTTGGCGATTTTTTTTAGTATTTCAGTATAAGTAGAGACCATAAGCCAATCTAAATTCCAGTATAGCACTGTAGACGGTCGTCGGCAGGTTATAATAAATGTATAATTCCACAATAAAATCATACATTCTTTGCAATAAATGTAATTTTTGGAATTCTTCAAGGAATCATTGAAAAGTGTTAAAATTCAATTAGCACAAATAACTGATTCAATCCAAAATCACCATAGTATAGCTACCTACTTATTCAACAATATTTTTTTAATTCATCAACTGAGAGAAACAGATCTCATCACAATCATCTATTATTGTTATTCAGCCAATCTTGTGACTTCAAATAACCTAAATATGCAAATATGCTGGAAAAATGCTAGAAAATATGTCAATACAGAGGAAATGCAAATCACATAATTATGACCCATGAATAATGTAATAATCAAAATTGCCTTTGAAATATAGGAATAGCCTCGGGAATAGCAGAGTTTTTGATTTGACAAGAGAGAATTTAGATTGCATAATAATGTTACTTAAATAATATATTTGCATTTTATGAATAAAAAATACTCATAGACCTTCCTGCAAATGCAAAACTTGTATAAGAACAAACAAGAGTCATAAAATAATATAACCAAGCTCATAATCTACTTTTAAGTACCTAGGAATATACTTATAATAGGTATGAATTTCTGGTCTATCTTTAAAATGAATTGTTTGCTTTTCATGTGGTGACAATGGATTTTTAAATACTGAATTTTCGTTTGCTTTGTGCGCAAATGTTAATGAGCTATGAGCTTGTAGATTATTGTTTTATGTAGGTACATGATGACCAAATATTTTGAATAAACATTCTTCAATTCCATCCACCTACTTGAATGTAGATAACAACAATATTTGACTCAGGTCGTATTGTTGTTTTTGAAATGTTTTATCATTCATGTTTATTACAGACAATGTGCAATTTGAATTTTGATTTTGAAAATGTAGGTATTTAATAAGAACTTACCTTGAAATGTAAAATATGGGCTCACAAGAATTTCTACGAAGTGCATGAACAACAACTATGTATTATTGTTTCAGAGTCATTGAGCTGGTGCTGGTACTGGTTACTTATTTAAGCGAAATAACCTCATCAGGAAGCAAATAAATAAAAATTACCACGAAAATAACGAAACAAATATCAAAATAAAAATGACAACTTAGTACAACTTCCAACTCCAACCTCAAAATTCACTCCACTTCTGCCCACAGGAACAGGACACCACAGGCATTAAAGACCCTAACACAAAGTAGACAGATGCAGGATGCAATGTCGCAACTTTAAAGAGACAACACACAATCCACTCCGCCTTCCGGCGGTAAAGTAACTGATGAACAGAATGAGAATACCGGCAACCAACTAAATGGTATTCTCTCATTTATCAATCATCCTTACACTTCTTACCTCTCCTCACTCAAATATTGTGGTTTAGTGTAGACCGTAGGGGGAACTTGGGGGGGAACTACCTATCAACTACCATGCAGTGACCCACGATAGTGATAACATATTTTTTTATAGGAATTTGTTTTTGCCGCCTTGCAGATAAGGATCGTGCATATTTTGATTGCTCATTTTACTTTTCAATCATATTTCTTTGCAAGATTATTCAATGAAACTTTCACCAATTAATATCTACACGTATTTATCATTAGTTTAAGTTTTCATAAGCTCAATATGGGTGTGCATGACGGAGCAATATCGGAACTTCTTTCTCTCTCTGTCACATACTCCATTGAGCTCTTCTTATGGAAATAAGTTCGTTATTGTTTCAAAAATGATGGAAGTTTTCTATACATCTCTGTTTCAAATAACCCGATCAAACCCGGAGTTGTTGCATTTGTTTATAATAATCTCTAACTGATAATGGAATAAAATACAGGGTTGTTCCATTTGAAAATCGAAAGATTGATGTTATATATATTTCCAGTAAAACCAGAGGATGAAAAGTTTACCAAAAAGAGAGAAAGTGCTCTCTAGTGGGCATAAGTCGATTTTCTAAAATTCAAAAGAAATATAGGTACCTACATCTTATAGAAAAAATATCAGTGTCAACCGGTGTAGCAACATATATTCCTGTAGGTAACATCGATAAAACATATCCAATCCAAAATATTCCATGTGGTCCGCCGATCATATCAACCCGACCCCTTAGATTTTGATACAATATGCCTAAATAGTCATTCTTGAAATTTTGAGTTCTTCGCAAAACAATGAATAGTATACGCATATTGATGGAATCTGAATATCCAGATTTGTCCACATTTTCGACGAGTCTGAGTAAGGGCTCCAAATTCAAAG